CTGTAATGAGATCTGATGCCCTCTTCTGGTGTGTCTGAAGACAGCTACAGTGTATTCAGAAATAATAAATAAATAAATAAAAAAAAAGTTATATGTTATCATGCTTAGGGTGATACACAAGGCGCACACACTATATGCCTAACTACAGTCCAAAGCCTGTCTCCCCAAAGCTGCCCACCTGTGCTGTATATCTTAATCGAAGATCAGGTCCAAGGGTCAGGATCCTGGAGGAGACTGTCTGGCCGCAGGCCAGATCAAGACGGCATCGTTCCAGAGGTGCAGAGCAGAGCAATGCTCTGGATTGTGTCTGGTTATCTTGAGTGAGTGATTTCACTGAGTTTTGATTATTAGGTGCAGTCTTGGGTGTAGTGGGAATCCTGACTAAGATATTTTTTACATGTCTAAAAGGGATTTTTATTTTACTATGGTTATTACAGAGAGAGACTAATTCTGGAATTAAAACTCAAAGATCTAAAAGTTGTTTAAAAAGAATAAAGTGCAATTCAGAAACAAGTTGAACATTTTCTTTTTCCTCCTTACTGTAGATGAATTCTACTCTCATTCTTTATGATAATTGTATTTGATATTTGTTTTCATTAATTTTAACCTTGAACTCTTGGATTTAGTTATAGTTTTAAGTATGTGTGTTCCCTTCAGATTTCATGTTGACTTTTTTTCCTAGTGTAGTGAGGTGGTTAGACTGTGTTTGCTCTGCCCCTTGGATGGGTTTAGTCACTTCCTTTTAAGGGCAGTAGGGGCCTGACTAGCTGGGCCACTTTTCTCCTCTGTTCATTAGGTATGTGAGGTCACTACAATAAAGCACCCTCTTAGAAAGCAGAAACTAGTCCTTCACTAAATACAGACCTGCCAGTGCAGTACTGTGAGGAATAAGTTTCAATTATTTATGGAGAACACAGTGTCAAGTAACTTGTAGCACAAATGGAAAAAGACAGATTTGTTTATTTTCTATGCCTTTTTTCTATTCTTTTGAAGGTTGGTGGAGTGGGAGGAATTGTTCATTGTCCTGTTTTGGTTAGGAGAGAAGGATTTAACAACAGCAGCAACAACAAAAATAATCAGATCTACACCTATACTTTTAACTTTAATTTTTTCAAAACTTATTTTAATGATAGTTTGAAAAAGCTTTCACCTCCCTTGTAGCCCACCACCCACCAAAGGTAGTGGAAAAGAAACGATGGGGGCGGAGGGAAGTGGAAAGGTTCTTTGCATCAACTCCCATCTGTGTGTTGTTTGGAAATCAGTAGTTCAGTTCACAGGTCAGCAGTGGCAGCTCAGTCTACATGCAGACACTTCATGGATACACCTTCAGTCTAGTTCGGTAAAGTCAGGAGAGCAACCATGAGTCAACAGCAATGGCACTACCTATCAGAGACAGCCCAGCCTTAGCCTCAGCAGGAGGGACCAGCAGGGACACCAGGAGATGATCTCAGCTGTGCCTCTCTCAGCAAAGCGAAGACCAGCAAAGATGTGAGACCAACAAGCAGTGCACAGCTAGTTGTACCAGCCAGCCAAGCTCTGTCTCCATTCCCTCCATGGAGTCTGATTTATCCCCTCCAGACATCATCCATGGGTCTTGCTCACCAAGTGTCTTGCCTCAACACTGGAGTTGGACTTAGCAAAACTCCAGTGAGTTTGTCTCAACTGCCAATTGGCCTGAGTCTCTGAGTCTACCACCAGAAGCTTTTTGGTGCGTTTCTCTCTGTGGAGTCCTGACAAATGGAGCTCAACTACACAGTGTAAGGCGTGATACATGTGTGTCATTAGCAAAGAATCCTTCATCACGTGTCCTTTCACATACTTGCTTCAGCAGAACATCCTCTCTCCCATGTCTGCTTCAGCGAAATGTTCCTTCACGAGTCTGCCTTAGTCTTTCACTTGTATCCGCTTCAGGAAAACATTCCTTCACTGGTTTGCTCCAGCAAAACACCGTTCAACACGACTGACTCTCCAAAGAACCCTTAACTTTCCACTTAATATACTGCTATTCATAATTCCTTCTTCTCTGAGTTCTTTTGCTTGCTAGATGTGAGGGGTATACTGCTCCTGGTTTGTGATTTGTGGGCCTGTAGGTTGTGTGTTTGTGTGTGTGTGTGTGTGTGTGTGTGTGTGTGTGTGGTGTTTGGTTAGGAAATAAGCTTGTAACGTCTCAGTAGTCTTTTTGTTTGTTTTTAATAGACATAAGGCTTAATCTGCTAACTGTAAATTCTTTTCTATACATATAGTATTTCTCTTCAGGTAATATAATAAGCATTATGGAATTACTGATTTAAAAAATAAAATTTAAGGCCTTTAGATTTGATTGTCATTTAGGTGATGGTAACAGAAAAATGAAATTATGGCATTTTCAGGAAAAATGGAAGGAACTGGAAATTATGTTAACTGAGAAAAGCCAGGTTCAGGCAAGTGTCATGTTTTCATTTATCTGTGTTTAGAAGGGGGGAGGGTAGATATAAAACCAGAAGGAGACTATTAGGGAGATGATAGGGGTTAGTGGGAAGATCCAGGGCAGAATGGAGGAGGATGGATATGATCATGGTGTGAAACAGGCATGTAGGAATATACCACATCAAAACTCAGTGTTTTACACAAGTAATATATGCTAAGAAAAAGAGAACCTCGATGCATGTGTTACTACGAGAAACAATTGAAAAAAAGGATATAAGGATATGATACTAACCAGATAATGTTCTAGCAAAGGCAGAACTCTGGGGACAGCTGAAACGATTAATAGTTGTCAGGGATTTGGTATAGGAAAGCAGGAATAGGCAGAACACAGATGAGTTGTAGGACACTGAAGCTATTTAGACACAGCAGCTGTAAATGGTTACTAGAAGTCTTTTGTCAAAACACCTGGAGTGTGCCAGGCAGTGGTGGCGCACACCTTTAATCCCAGCACTTGGGAGGCAGAGACAGGCGGATTTCTGAGTTCGAGGCCAGCCTGGTCTACAGAGTGAGTTCCAGGACAGCCAGGGCTATACAGAGAAACCCTGTCTCAGAAAGAGAAAACAAAACAAAACAAAACAACACCTGGAGTGTACAGCACCCAGAGTGTACTCTGTAGAAACTATGGGCTTTGATAATACTCTGTGATTCTTATAAGGTTTGTTGGTTGGGACATATACACTGTCTGGTTGTGGGCAGTGGGCTGTGAGAGGCAGCTGGGTACCTAGTCAAGCAGACCTTGAACCCAGGAGACCCTCCAGGGATAGGAGGAGTTCGGCCTTCCTCCTGGACCCTGGCTCCTTTCACATACCTACAGCCCCTCCCACAGAGAGGTTTGTGGCCATAGGTCAGGTAGCATAGGTAGAGGGCGTGACTACAGGCCACAGAGCCTCAAGGCATATTTCCATATTCATGAGATACCTAAAGGCCTGAGGGCATAGCCAATTAAGCATTCCTTCCCAGACCCTCCTCCTTGCAAAAAGGTGTTTAACCTCAGGCCTGCCTTGAGAATGCGGGGTATAGTTTCATCTATTTTCTGTCATGACAATAAAGATCTTAAGACTATATCTTAAGACCTGGACTACCTCTCTTCTTTGCCCCCCCCCCCCCGCTGTGGGGAACTGGGGAGGTCTTTCAACCACTGAGCCGCAGTTTAGTCTCCCGCCAACCTCTCTACGTTTCCAGCCATAGAGGCCACTGACTCAAGCAAGTGAGCCAGCTGTGACCCAGCCAAGCGAGTCACCATGACCAAGAGCCTCACCACTCCGCTGGCACAGCTGGAGCTTTTCCCCGCTACCCCCCTTCGGCTGCAGGTTGATCCAGCCCGTATGCTCCAAGTGTCTCTGTCCTTCTGTGGCCTCTCAGCAGTGCCTGAGAACCAGTCGGTTCCCAGTTGCCTTGGCCCAGCGACACCCAAACCAAGAGCTCTGGCCCCTGTGGGACCTCAGACTGTGTTCCCTCAACCCACGGAACAGAGCCCTGCAGCTTCTTACAGCCCGATGTCCACCTGGTGCATCGTGGAGTGGACACAGTCAAATTCCCGAGTATCTGCTTCCCTGGGCTGTGGCCCCAGCCCCTTGGAGCAACAGACACGGGACACACGACTCAACCCACGCCCGAACATGCACGTCACAGCCCAACATCTAGTGTGGGATGATGATAGCTGGGGAGGTTGCATGTGGTTAGAGATGCCACATGGGCATCTTCTGTGAACCTCTCCATATTTTGTTGTTTCTTGAATATTGTAAGTTCTACACATAACCTCATAATTATTTACCAGATAATTCCATTTTAAGTTGATCTCTTTTCCATAATCTTAGGTCTGTGTTGTAGAATTTATCATTTAACTTGCTAATTAAGTTATAAAGCTTCTTGCATTAGTTATAACTTTTCTTGTTTTTGTTAAAAAATATCTGAGAAGAAGCAATTGAAGGAAGGGGTTATTTTGCCTTAGAATTCAAAGGGCTAGATACGATCATGGTGGGGAAGGTTAAGAGGCAGGAGCAGGAGGCCAGCTGCTCACATTGATTCCACAGTCAGGAGGCAGGAATCAGTGCATCCTCTTATGTCATTCAGAGCATGCTGCTGCCCACATTTATTTAGGGTGATCTTCCCACTTTAAGCTAATCTGGATAATCCTTGTCAGACATACCTAGAGATTTGTTTCCAAGGTGATTCTAGGTCTGTCAATTAAGCAACTCTTTGTTTCTTGATGTGTAAGTACTATGAAAGAGTACTGGATTATTGAGGAGAGGAGATGGCTTAATCAAATAAAGGCACTGCAGCAACCTAGCTACCTGAAGTCAGTCCCCAGAACCAAACCATCTACCTGTTCTCTGCCCGCTGCGTGAACTGTGATGTGCACCCCTCCACACACATAGTAATAACAGATAAATGAATAATTTTAATAAGAGACAGATGTCTTACAGACTGGTTTGGCTCATTCTTTATGTATAGTTTTTTATGGTTCAAAACTTTAAAATTCATATGATCAGGAGAGGGTAAACATAAACATTCTCTTATGATTTTTTTTATAGGAAACTCCTTCACAAGGAGAGATGAAGAAGAAATCTGTATATAATCAGAATGTGGGTGATCAGGAGTGTGAAGATATGGAAGGTAACTTGTTATAAAGTCTATATTGAAAGTCAATTAGTGTCACTAAACTTTAAAATTAAGGTTTCTAAATTTTTTGTCATTTTTTAATATCCTGAGACAAATGACGTAAGAATTAAGAATTAGACACTTTCCTTCTCATGTTTTCATTGAACATTTTTATTTGAATTGCTCATTTTTTTTGTTTGTTTTATTTTTTGTTGTTGGAATTTCTGGGTTAGTTGTGTTGGGGGGCACATGTGTACGTGTGTGTGTGTGTGTGTGTGTGTGTGTGTATGTAGGCCAGAGGACAAGCTTGGTTGGGTGTTTGGGGTGTTCCTCAGGCACCATCACTTCTTTCTGTTTTTGAGACCAGGTCTCTTACAGGCTGGGAGTTTCCAGGTTGGCTGGCTAGCCTCAGCAGTGGCCTGTCTCTGTCTTCACATCACTGGAACCACATGCACGTACCACTTAGCCAGCTTTTAACATGTGTTTTCTGGGAATTAGCAAGCACATTATTGACTGAGCAGTTTTCCTTTTTAAAGTTATAATAGTGTTAAGATTTTCTTCTCCCTGTAAGGTTAATGTTTTTTATTTGCTCATTTTGTGTATATGGGTATTTTATCTGCAATGTATGTCTATGTACCATGTGTGTATCTAGTATTAGTTTGTATTTGTTAAGTTTAATCTGAAACCCTAAATGCCCAATTCAGGTATTCTTTATAGAATTTGTATTTCCTTCATTCCAAACTCATACTGGAACCATGTGTTATGAGTATTCTGGCTTATTACTGTTCTCTTAGATTAATGTGTCCCCCTAGCTGGGAAGACTCTAGGTTGTATTGAATTATACAGTTCCTATTGCTTGCTTTCACAATTTTGTGTAAGTTGATTACTGTTAGGAATTTAAATTGATACAGAGTGCCGGGCAGTGGTGGCGCACGCCTTTAATCCCAGCACTTGGGAGGCAGAGACAGGCGGATTTCTGAGTTCGAGGCCAGCCTGGACTACAGAGTGAGTTCCAGGACAGCCAGGGCTATACAGAGAAACCCTGTCTCAAAAAACCAAAAAAAAAAAAAAAAAAAAAAAAAAAAATAAATAAATAAATAAATTGATACAGAGACAGGTTTGGCATATCGATTCCTGTGTTATAAATATACACATTGACCCCACATTGCTTCTGTTTTTGGGTTTTCGAAACAGGGTTTCTCTGTGTAGCCTTGGCTGTCCTGGAACTTGCACTGTAGATCAGGCTGGCCTTGCCTGCCTCTGCCATCCAAGTGCTGGAATTATGGGCATGCACCACCACCACCACCCGTAGATAAACTTTTTGAAATGTGAGATAATTGCGTTGCGATATAAAGTCATTGGACGAGTATTTATTGCCTAACATGTGGAACTCTAGGTTCTGTCCTCAGCCTTTGTTGTCATAGCCAATGGCTGAAAACACATGAATGTCCATTAATAAGTTGTTTTAAGAAGCAGATATGGAAGAATGTATATTAGGGTTTATCCTGGCTCGTTGGCTCACCCCTGTGCTCCTAGTACCTGGAAGGGTGAGATAGAAATATCCTGAGTTTAAAGCCAACCTACTTATAGAGAAACAAAATGACTCTTTGAGATAAGGTTTCTCTGTGTATCCCTGGCTGTCCTGGAATGCACTCTGTAGAACAAGCTGGTCTTGAACTGAGACATCCACCTGCCTCTGCCTCCCAAATGCTGGTGATATTAAAGGAGTGTACCATCACCACCTGGCTGAGAAACCTTGGTTTAACTAAGGGGAGGTCAAGGAAGGAATTGCTTTTGTATGCATTAAAAAGTAATGGTGTAACAAAAGAAACTTAAGTTATTACTGGCTATGGTAGAAGTAGATGGGTATGTGACTAGGTTTGTCACTATAGTCATTTCTACTTAAAAATGTTGAACCAGCTAAATAATATTTAAAATTAAATCATGGTCCATGTGTATCCCCCTTCCCTACTGAAATATATAAAAAGTTGATTGAGAATGTAGCTAAGTGGTAGGGCATGTATTTAGTATATACAAGGTCTGGGTTCCTAGAATCTCACTACACACACACACACACACACACACACACACACATACACATACCACCCATCCACACATACAGCACACACACAAAGACACAAACAGACATACAGATCACCCACATTACTATCCACACATATATACAGCACATACACAGACACACAGAGTACACAAAAAGTGAATGCTGGTGCTGTCAGACTTAAAGAGTGTGTTTGTCATTTGACATCCAAGATCTAGTTGCAAAGAATTGGGGCTCGCCGTTTGAGGATGTAGGCAGCCATATTGCTTAAGCATAAATCATTGGTTTTGGGGTCTTTGAAAGCATGTCTGTCATTTTCTTTGCAGGTGAAGAAAATAGAGATAATGCTGATACCTCTGGCTTACTGTACAGTGAAGCAGACAGATGTCCAATATGTCTTAGTTGCCTATTAGGGAAGGAAGTTGGTTTTCCAGAAAGTTGTAATCATGTCTTCTGTATGGCCTGTATTCTTAAATGGGCAGAGGTAAGTCAGAGAATGAGCATTAACCATAGGTAATAAATTTCTGCATCTAATTTCCTATCATTTTATTTCACTTATTGTTACTGCCTTTTATAAATTATTTCATACTAAGTTCTTTCTCTTCTGCTTTAATCAAATTTCCATTTGAATTCTGTCTGCATATTTTCTTCCAATTGTTTTTTTTTACTCAGTCTTTATTCTTTTATAATTAATTTTAATTTATACTTTGAAGAAAACCTTATAGAAGAGCAGGCCAAACAGCCTTCTGACCCTGACAGGATATTACCTGCTTGCTGCTAATAACATCCCTGTCTGCTTTTTATATAAATGTTTTTCAGAGAATTTTCACACAGGTTATTTTGATTTCTTTCTGTCAAGCACTGGAATAATCACAATAGTGTTTTTTCACTTTAAAGTTTAGGGATCTTTAGTATAAACTAATTTCAGAATCTGAGTTAGAGATTTTACTTAAGATTCTTTATAAAAATAATTAAGAAGATATTTGGGCTTTGACTGTATTATAGTGAGTCAATTATAGTGAGTAAATTGAAGTATATATTAACCTTAAGCCCTGTTGTTATAAATTATAAAATCAAACATTTACTGCTTTTTATATTATGTTTTCTGATTTACTATTTTGTCAGTGTATAAAAATTGGTAAAGAATTAGGTGTATCTCAAAGTTATTTTTTTCTTGTATTTATATTATGTTCCTTAATATTGTTGAAAGAACTGACTTTGTGTATAGTGAATGCTGTCTTTATGGTTAACTTTTGTAAGAGATTTGTTATGCTAGTTGAATTAATAAGAATACAAGAAGAAACATAATTTAGATTAAAAGCCTAACTAATCTTTAACAAAAAGAGACTAAGGATAGGTGAAAATGTATTTTGAGAAAAATACTATGAGTTTGGGCAGAATACTGTGCGTACATCTCCATATGTAACTGTAGTACTGATTAGTGCCTTTTTGTCTATCATTCAACTATAGATCTAGTGCATCTGTGCTATATATGTATAATACATCATGTGTCAAACCCTGTTTCTGCATGAGTTGTAGGTTTTGGTCTTTTCCTGATTGTATTCAGTGACTACATAATTATGAACTTCAAACAAAATAAGATGCGTGTGTGTGTGTGTGTGTGTGTGTGTGTGTGTGTGTGTGTGTGTGTGTGTTTTTGTTTATTTTTTTTTTTTTTTTTTTTTTTTTTTTTTTTTTTTTGAGACAGTATTTTTCTGTGAAGCCTTGGCTGTCTTGGAACTCAGTTTGTATTTTTTTGGTTTTTCGAGACAGGGTTTCTCTGTGTAGCCCGGGCTGTCCTGGAACTCACTCTGTAGACCAGTCTGGCCTCAACTCAGAAATCCGCCTGCCTCTGCCTCCCAAGTGCTGGGATTAAAGGCGTGCGCCACCACTGCCTGGCTCTCAAAGGGCATTTTTTAACATAAGCTTTATGTAGCATAAGCTTCATGATATACATGAAACAGATTTCTTTGGGGTACGTCTTGAGAAGTAGTTGCTAGGTTGTAGACTGCACATATTTAATGCATAAGCAGTAGTAAACTTAACTATATTTTAGCTCATTTATTTTAAATTTGAAAATGTCTGGCAGTATATATGAAGGTCAACACATTTTTTTTTTACATATACTGTATTCCTTCTTTTTTTGTTACTTTATAAGAAATACTTGTTTTTATTTATTTATTTATGTGTGTGTGTGTGTGTGTGTGTGACTATGTGCCTACAAAGACCAGCAGATGTTTGAGCCCTTAGAGTTGGAGTTACAGGCTGTGTTTTTTTTTTTTTAAGATTTATTTATTTATTATATATGAACACACTGTAGCTGTCTTCAGACACACCAGAAGAAGGCATCAGATCTCATTACAGATGGTTGTGAGCCACCATGTGGTTGTTGGGATTTGAACTCAGGATCTCTGGAAGTGCAGTCAGTGCTCTTAACCACTGAGCCATCTCTCCAGCTCGAGTTACTGTTACTGGCTGTTATGAGCTGCCAGCATGGGTGCTGGGAACCAAACTTGAATCCTCTCCAAGAGAGTAGTACATGTTTCTAATTGCTCAGCTATCTCTCCAACCCCTAACATTCTTTTGAAAATAAATGATTTATTGAAGTGAAATTGTTTTGCTTTCAAAAGCAAGTTCTGTGTACTGTTGTCTTAAGTTGTGATTGCAGGGTAATGTGGAGTTGTGTTATTGTTTAATGAAGTAATTAACCTTGAAAGGGGAGAAGAGAGAACCTTCTGAACTATTTCATTGTTCCTAGTGGAGATAGAGTAGCCATCAGTAAGCCATTAAGTCATCAGCTTTCAACCTATGGATTATGACGGGTCGTCAAAGACCATCTGAAAACACAGATATTTACATTATGATTCATAACAGTAGCAATGAAAATAATTCTCATGTCGCCACTAGATGAGAAAGGAACCGGATTAAAGGATTGCAACATTAGGAAGATTGACAAGCTTTGCATTAAGTTGACTAGTAACAATGGGACACTCATATTGTTCATTATAAATTATGAATAAATGTATGCTTACAGAGTTACTTAAGTTTCTCAGTTTTCATTCAGTCTTATTGTGATAACAGTTAGATGGTCTAAAGTATATAAATGCTTTGGAAAATAGAGTCAGATTTCAATGTCTTTTTTTTTTCCCATTGTCGTCATTAGAGGACTTGCTTTCATTCTTTTCACCTCCTGTTTAAGGAGGTGTGCAGTTTGTTTCAGATTCAGTACTAGAAATAATCGTGTGTATGTAGAGACTCTTGGCAGGTTATAGTCAACAGTCTTTCAGTTAATCCACTATTTTAATGTTTATTTGATGTACAGATAAGGGCTCTGGACTCTAGTAGTAATTTATTTCCAGATACCTCAAGAGTAGCCTAAAGTTAAAATAAATTTTAAGACTCTGTAGTTTGAAAGTTTACTAGTATCCATTTCTAGAAGTGTAGGGATCAAAGTGAAATTTTACTTGGAAATCTGTATAATAAGAAAAAGTATAGATTGAATTCTGGATCATTTTCTAGATATTTTTGTCTTTCAGAGATTTAGCTCTGCTGCAGTTTGTAGTTGAGGTTCACTAAAGTAGGATTACAAAAGGATGTCAAGCACAGCCTGCCATTGCCACTTTAGTCATTGAAGAAATTTTATCACAAGAAAGTGATATTTCAAAGGTTTGAATGCACTTTAGTCTGGTGACTTTATATTGTGCACAGTCCTGAAAATTTTCATCTCCCCAAAGTACCTATTCCTCAAATAAAAATTAGTTTGAATTTCTCCATGCTCTAAGATCTTGTTTCTGTTTTTTTTTTTAAACAAATAAGCAAAATTGAAGTGTTAAAGTAAATGACTGTCTGGTCTCTAGATATGTCATAGAATCCACTTTACTTAGGAAAAAAAGATTTCAGCGTGATGTTCCCTATACCAATGTTGATAGCTCCAGAATCTAATGGCCGACCATAAGTACACTAGAACACATGGAGTCTCTTATAATGGTGTTCAGTTACAAGATTCATAGATGTCAAGCCTCTTAGCTTAAAAGTATAGCCAGAATAGATATAGAATTCTGAAAAACCAGTATGGTGCTCTGCACCTGCAATCTCAATACTTGTGAAGCTGAGATAGGATTTTAGAAGGTAAGCAGCTTGGGGTACATAGCAAGTACCAGGCTAGCTAGGTCTGTATACCAAGATTCTGCTTGAAATAAGAGAAATGGAGAATAGAAGAAAGAAATAGGATATTTAACAAAAATGAAATTGGCAGGAATGCCCTGTTGATATTTTTTATTAAACCATTACTATTGGAGCTATATACTCTTGAAATTGAGAGAAGGCCTTTGTACTGCTAAGCATACTAGAGGCAGTGTGCTAACTAACGTTCACCACACTTAAGAGATTTCTTTATCTCACACACTGCACTTCTGAGCTAGAAATATGGCTAAGTAATTATGAACATTGGTCGTTGTCACAGAGAACCTGGTTCAATTCCCAGCACCCACACGGTGGCTCACAATAGTCTATAATTCCAGTTCCATGGGATCTGACAGCATTTTCAGACTTCTGGGACTCCTGCACTGACATGGTGCGCCAATATACTCTTATGTACATGTGTGTGAAGGCTAGAAAATCTGATGTATCAATAGAAATAGGACAACTCATCATATTTATGATCCTCTACATACAAAATATCCCACCTGTATGTGCTGAATATGAGAATAGGTGGTTTTTTTTTTTTTTTTTTTACCTTGGCACAGTCTCCAGAAGCTAGTTAAAAGTTTGGTGTTTAGAGAGTTATGGTTTGAGAATTTAGAAGCATTCCATGTTTAAAGGATCTAATATTTCTTACTATATCTTGGTGCTGAGGGTTAAACTAAGACCTCAAGTGTTGAATATGCTGAGCTCTAAGATGTGCTACAGTACAAGGACATGCAGTGTTTATGCTGTGTATAACTAGTACAGTCTTTAACTACAGAGGGCCTTCCCTTTATTTTTTTAAAGATTCATTTATTATGTACAGTATTCTGCTTGCATGTATACCTGCAGGCCAGAAGAGGCTCTAGATCTCATTACAGATGGTTGTGAGCCACCATGTGGTTGCTGGGAATTGAACTCAGGATCTCTGGAAGAGCAGTCAGTGTGTTCAACCTCTGAGCCCTCTTTCCAGCCCCAATTCTTCTTACATACTTCTTTTAAGTATTTTAAACATTTAAAAAATGTAATTACTTTCCCTACATAAGGAAGTGATTGAACTTCCGCTATACCTATGGAATGCTGGCAGCTTCAGCCTGAGAATGAAATGTTAATGAAGTCAGACTGGACAGTTAGCAAAGGCAGTCTCCTGAGAAGAGAAATGAAGATGTTCACAAGGTGACCTAGAGCTCCTGAAGGGTAGTGTTGAGTACAGGCAGGTGCAAGTGTGTTTTTAGATGGATTAAACAGCAAAGGTCAAGATCGCAGAGCAGCTGACATTTGTTATCTAAAGAATAAAAGAATACTTGTGAGAATCTTTATCTAATATTCTTTTCACCCATCAGGTAAATTAAAATGCATACACACACACACACACACACACACACACACACACACACACACACACA